CATTTTGTTGTTGCATATTTTTTATTTTCTCTTTGTTGCTTCGCATTTGTAGCAGCTGAGGAAGCACTCAGCAATTGTTTACAGCCATTATGCGCCTGTCAGTATGCAGCAGTTGCGTAAATACATACTTGCGTGTGTTCGTGTAAGTTCGTTTGTCATTTTTATTTCGGTTTTTAACTACTCTGCCATGCATGGCGTGCGGCGGATACTGTAAATTGTCCGTTGGCGCTTTAAGAGTTAGCGAATGCCTTTAGATACATACATAAATATATATGAACTGATATACATATGTATATGTGCATATGTTTGAGTAGTGCGTGAGTTCATGTGTGTCATACAATGTACATTTACAAATGTGTATTTCTTTGTAGCTCTTGTGTCTCACTATTGCGCTTTTGGCCCGACGACACAATTCCCTCTCTGCTATTTCTTAATCTCTTATTTACTATTTTTTTTTTTTTTTTGTAACTGGTTTTAATAGCATTTTCCTTCCGTATTTTTAGGGTTCATTCGTAATGAGCCTTGTTCAACTCCGTTTGTTGCGTATTCACTCTTTTTAGAGTGCAAAATGTTCTTTGTCTTTAAGCTATATGAATAGAGCTGTCAGCTATCCTTGAATAAACTGTATAAATAAATAAAGTTTATTATTAGTTTGCTGATAATAGTTTGCACTTTTGCCAAAAGAGGCTAGAATCGGGTCACAACTTGCCTTGGTCACTATAAGACTAATATCAAAGTCTTCGAGCTTCAAGTTTCAAGCTTTATACCTTACAGTATATCGGTTAACATATAGGTTATCTTACACAAACTCAAACAACGCCTGTTACTAGCAGTGTATCCTTGTGCCTAATCGGTTTAATACCACTTCCCCTATCCTCTATTTACCTTATATAAGAATTTTCAAGCTCCCAGTTATTTGTAAGCCTTATATAATTTATTTCGTGGTTTACTACTTTTTGAAAGAAAATACATAAAAACTTCAAATTTATTTGGGAATTTTTATTATTATTCGAAAAAACATTCTTTGGCATTTATTTTTTGGAGATTATCTCTTTCAAATGTTGCCCGCAGCTACGTCTCAGATGGTCCATCCGTTGAGTCGACTCAACTGGCGAATGACACGCGTGAAGTTGTGCTCCAAGGCCTGAATCGAATCGGGATTGCCAGCATTGCCTTTAGACTTTACATATCCTCACAAGAAAGAGTCTAACGGTGGGATATCATATGATCTTGGGAACCAGTCGACCGGCTCAAAACGTGAAAGTATCTGCTCACCGAAGCGTTGTATCTTCTTGGAACTTTTCTAGTGCCCATAGAGCGAAGTGATCTCTCTTGGGAAGGTCGAACGACTTCAGTTCTTGCATAAGCTTTACTTTGTACACTTTCCTTACTGGTTTATATACAATAATCGTAGTTTCACACTGAAGAGCCAGAGAATAATTATAAATATTATGCAGAACTCGTTAAAAATCTAGCGTCGGACCACTAGGAGTTCACAAATCATTTCGCCTGCTCGTATAAATATAACTTTAGCTAAAATTCATAAATAAATTGTATTTTATTACTACCTCCAAAGTATGTATACTTTAACAAAACCTCTAGGAAATGTAATGCCACAAATGTCCATGGACAGTCTGAACTGAACTTTTAGTAAATTAATTCATTTTCTGTTTTAGTGTTGCATACTTTAAAGCGCCCAACCATGAACTACCTCCCTTTATAAACATTGCTCCAAACGCCTCAGAGCCGCCTGTGTGCGCCATCGTTTTCGCTTTGTCTCCCTCGTCTAATTTATTATTTATGCGCATATTCGCTTTTATCTCCCCAATTCAATTGAATTGGCGCCACTTAGGCTTAACACGCTGCCCGCAGCTCATGTTACACTTCAACCACTCCCTCTCTTTCTCCCCTACAACAGAAACAATGCCATGCAAGAAGCTTAAAACAATAAATGGAAACATTAATAATTATATTATATGTACAGGTAGGCGAAGGGAGGTTTTTATGTGTCGTGTGTTTGTTGTTTTCGTGTCTCATAATAAATATTTTTTCGGAACTTAAATATATTTTTTGTGTATATATTTTTTTTATAAAACTGCGCCTATAATTGACGGGAGTAGTTCCTCAATTTTTGAGATATCAGTCTAAAATATCGCGCACGTCCTTTTTTCCGCAAGAAGCTACTTATTTGTTGTATCTTAACAATGAAAATCATGTCTTATATGGAAAAAATTTGTATTTGACAAAATATCTTCAAGGAATTTATGATGGATAATCACCTAAGGCAATGGTATAATCTCCGAAGAAATTTTTCGGATCGGAGTGCAAAAGCACACAGTTGCCATACAAACTGATCGGTCAAAATTCAGTCCTTGTATGGAAACCTTTTTTATTTGGCGAGGTATCTCCATAACTTCATGAAAGATATTTTAAAGGTTGTTTAAATGAAGCTTCGTGGCTAGGAAGAACTAACTTAGGTGACCGTTAACCGGCTGCATTTTCCAGCACATGTTTATACATTTATTTGCTATAAAAAATTCATATGTAAAGAGTATAAAACTTGTGTACACCCAAAGTTAACATATTTTCTGTTCTTGTTTTTAAATATTGTACACTTTTTATGCTCACTTTATTTAATTTTGTTTTATTTTATTTTATTTTATTTTATTTAATTACTTTATTTTATTTTATTTAATTAAATTTTATTTTATTTTATTTCATTTTATTTTATTTTATTTTATTTTATTTAATTTTGTTTTGTTTTACTTAATTTAATTTGTTTTTCAGTCACCATTTCGTCCCACTGTGCCATGTTAGCATATGCCTATAACTTCTTCTTCACTCTCCCCATATCTCTCTGTCTCTCTTGGCTGCGCACCGCTTCCTTTCAAAGCCAGGAAATAACCGTATTCTTATTTTTCTCCTTCTGCCTTCCACTCCTTCTTGTCATTCTTCCTCAATACTCATTGAATATCGTGAGTTCGTTGAACTAAACGTTTGGCGTCTTCTTCCACCCCTTTTACCTTTCTAACTGAGTCAGTGCCCCACCTCCAGCTTTGCCTTTGTTTTGACGACAACACTTGCGTATGCCCCGCGCCATGCCGCGCCCTTCTACTGCACACATTCTAACTGTATCCATTCAGTTTGTGTTTCATTTTAACTCCACTTCGCTGCTGAAGTCCTTTCTTTGCACTTCAGCGCGCGCTCGCCTTTATTCATGTATCTACTTATGTGCTTATACTAATACTTACTTCACTTTGCTTCCATGAATACATATGTGAATGTGTGTGTGTCACGTATATGTGATTACCTTTTGTTAGGAGCAAGACGCTGAAGTCAGCGGGGCATCGGCAGCGCGCAGACATCGTTTTGTATTTTGTCGAGTCTTGACTTAAATTGCGTCGCGTTGCAGCGTTAAGCCGCATATTTTTGTTTTTGTACGCCGATGTTTTGTGCTTTTGTGGCGCCATGTAAACAATGTTTTAGTATTTTGTTTACAGTTTTAAAGTTCAAAAAGAAGAACTAAGCCAAGTAAGTTCGCAAAAAGTAGTAAACAAAAACAACACAAAATATGCTGAGTTGAGTGTCGTCTAGCAGACAACAACAAAAGAAATTAAAAAATGGCCAGCAAGCAAGCGCCTAACGTGCCTATACGTACACGACATCCGTACATATGTGCTTCTGTATGTGTTTGTGTGGCGAGACTTCAAAATATTTACGGGCTTTGCAAATGTTTTTCCTTTAGTCGACTCTTTTGACTTGATTTGTTGTTGTTTTCTAAATGTTTACGTTAACTTTTTAGCTTGGATAATTTGATTTAAATTCTTCATACTCACGTGTTTGGCAACTTCTTTCGGCTTGCCTTGTAGTTGTTAATATGTGTGCTTTGTATAGTTGTAGGCGCTTAAGCAGCAAACAATTTGCCACTGTTTGAACGTTTGAGAATATAAACTTAGAAAAGATGGTTTAAATTCTCAAACCTTTTTTTATAATATTCGTTTTGCCTTCAAAATTAAATATTTGTTGAAAAAATTTTCAGAAATATCTTCAATTTTCTATAAAATATACTTACATATAACTAGTTGACTAATTTGTAACATTTAACAAAGAAACGATAAGGAACGAACGATTTAATAAATTTTGACATTTTTTCTTTTTATTTATTTAGTTTTTTATGTTTTTCTCCTTGAGACCAACAAAATCGGTCGAGTTGCATTGAATTAAAAATCGTGTAACTGGCGAATGAATGATGTTTTGCTCCAAGGCATTGATTTTAAACTTTATATATCCCAATAGGAAATAGTCTGATATCACACAATCTTGATGGTCAATTGACCGACCCAAAACGTGAATCTGCTCACGGAAGTGTTCTCTCAATAAATCTATTGATTGATGCGATGTGTGAAAAGTATGCCATCGTTTTGAAACTAAATGTCGCCGAGGTCAGGAGCTTCAATTTCAGGCATCAAATAGTCGGTTATCATGGTGCGTTAATAGTGGCCATTGGTACGTTGTCACCAGCATCGTTTTTAAAGAAATATGAACCGATTACTCCACCGGCTTTTTTGCTTCTTTACATACCCATCAAACTAGAAATGGGCCAATAATGAATGCTGGATCACAAGATGGGTGATGGTGTTGCGAATAGTATGCTCAGAAGGCCGATTATGTTGGCCATAAGCTGAGAGATTGAACGATTTGTGAACTTGGTTCAGATCTTTCCATGATAAAATGCCAAACAAAAAAGGTTATTGAAAAATGTACCTTTGCTTGGATCACAGTTTATGTTTTTCTGCTACAGACCATCAAACCCAGGCTTTGATTTATTTTATTATTCAATATTTATAAATATTAATTAAATCTATTTTAGAATTAAATAATTTTTTACTAAAACATCAACCATGAAATTTCGAAAATATTATAAAAAAAAACATTAATATTTACTTATTCAAATTCATTCTACTTCTATTAACAATTTTTCCTTTGCATAATCTTTACAGGGCAGTCACAGATCCACGCGATGGACGACGCGTCGCACTCAAAAAGCTTCCAAATGTCTTTCAGTCGCTGGTCTCATCGAAAAGAGTATTCCGTGAATTGAAAATGCTCTGCTTTTTCAAGCATGAAAATGTGAGTACAACAAAAAATTTTATTCTACTTAACATTGCTTTATGCACCCGGCACATTGAATAAATTATCCGGAATATAACCGGTATGCTATGTGGTTATGTGTAAATATGCAATGAGAAGCTTTATTCATTGCGTTCTACTGAAAAGTTGCGTTGCAAGTCTTTAAATTTGAATACAATGTTGAAAAAGCTGAAATTTTCAAAGCGTTGAGCGCAAAAGTGCTGAGTTAAGGTATTCAATCTCTAAACGCTGTCGTGAAAATTATGCCAAAAATGTTCCCAAAAAAGAAAAGTTAATATTTTTATTAAAATCTGCTAAAAAATATGGCAGCACTCGCGCTCAGCACTGCAATTTATTGCTACTGCATGCATTTTTAATATACATATGCATACATATATTTACGAATGTACATGCATAAATGAAATTTCCCGTTATTGTAATTTCAAAACGTTTGCATTGCTGCGCTACATTTTCTATTTGCGAAAAATGCCAAATGAGTTTCGTTTTCCCGACACGCGGCAGCGACAGCACGCTCTATTACTGTGCATGCTATTTGTTGTTGTATCTACGTGTAAATGTTTGTGTGCGTGTGCGCATTTGTTTGCTACAATAGCTTGCAATTTAATACACATTTGCAGCGCAATTCGAAAAGCAGCTCGCATTCATCTTTTCAATTGAATTGTAGACTTTATTTACAATTGTATTGCATATCAATAGGCGCATAAGCTTTCACATTACACAAAGCGTTTGCTGCTGTTCGTGCATAGCCGCTTACAGCTCGAAATGCGCCATTTCAACTCATTTGATGTATTGAATGCGCTTTTGCAAGCAAACACACGCACATACACACACATTCCTGCACATATGTACATACATACTTGCAATATAGCGTGCGAACAAATGGAAATTTGTAGAAGAGCGCGCTTAATAATATGAAATTAAAAAAACGATATTGCGTATCATTTGTAGTAGTTTCCGAAAAAGTATAAGAAACATTCTAATTCATCGTTATTGTTTAGGCTCAGTTGACAGTTTTAAAGAATCAATCACATATTCATGCCTATTTAAGAATATGCTCCGAAAGGAAGCATGGAAGTTGCACCACGACAACACCCCGGCTCACACCGCCTTTCTTGTGAACAGCTACCTAGCCAAGGCCGGCATCCCAACGCTTCCTTGGCTGAAAAGACCGATGAAAGGGAACCCAAGCAGCATGCACCTCGGCTCTCAAGGCTATTCTGGAGAATACCTTCCGTGACGCCTTCAATGCTGGGAAATCGCGCTGACAGCTCTGCTTCGACGCCTACTTTGAAAGTTTATATTCTGTTGTAACGATTGGCTCAATAACTTTTTTTTAATCGACTCAGTCCTATTACTTACCGGACATACCCTGTAATTGCTTGGATTATGATAATAGCTTATTCGTTTGCAGATATATCGATTATTGTTCATTATCGATAACTAATTTTATCGATATACATATATATTTGCAGTTGCTACCAGAGAATCCCAGTAATACTTTAATTTTTTCGATATATATACATACAAAAATAGATGCTTTTTTTAATTCTAAGTGCATATAACCCCTTAAAAGAGAGGCTGTTTGGTGTTGTCATTCCAAACTCAGTTGATTTGCTTTTCATCATCAAGAATATTCGAGAATTATTACCATTGCATATATTGCAACAAGAAAAATCGTTAACCTTGGTTGCACCGACGCAATCATACCCTTCTCAAATACAAAATGTTTCTTACAAGAACTTGATTTTAACCGATCAATTAAAATGGTGGCTATATATATTACAATTTTTCGATGTGAACAAATTCTTCGGAGATTGTACGATTGCTTTAACTCTTCAAATGAAAAAGTTTTCCACACAAGTTCCTTATACCGATCGTTCAGTTTGTAAGACATATGTCATGGCATATGCTATAATGGTCTGATATCGGTCGTTCTGTTATATAGAAGATAGCTAGAAAATAATTGATGTTTTGCGCTGCGACCTATGATCTCGCATATATCACATATACTCACAAAGGTCCACAAGTCTGAACAATTCCAGGAGCTTAGATGGATCCAAGGGCTTTGAACCTGCTGTTACAAATCACTGGGCAATCTAGAGTTAGGTGTTCAGAAGTTATCATTTTCATGTTGGACAAATGAGATTGTTCTTCGGGAGAAAAAACGTGTATAAAATTGCAGTTCGATATCTCAAAAACTGAATTGCTGTTTCGGGTAGGGATGGATAACCGTTTGTGGCTAGATCGACTTACCTCGTCATGCTCATGATTTATATATATCGAGACTCAAAAAAAAAATTATTGGCATCAAGGGGGTTTTAACACTTATGTCTTTATTCCTATTAAATTCTGAAAACTCTTCGGTTTACGCTAGCTTTTGGTTCTTAGTGGCCACTTGTCAAGGTTTGGCGCATTGAATACAGTTACTAATAAATAGTATATGAATAAAAACATCAAATCGGTTTGGGGATAAGAAGAGTTTATAATATCTGACATAAAAGAATAGCAGCAAGGTCCATTGTATCATGCAAGATTTCCTTTGGAAATACATGAGATAACACTGCTGCCAGAGAAAATTCAAATGTTTGATAAAATAGTAGTAGACCGGCATATTTCCGTAAACTCCGTACACAAATTTTTTGACATACTTAGTATTCGAGGTCGTCAGCTTTTGTTTAACAAATGACTGGAGAACCGCTGAGCTTTAGTTTATCCCTGCACTGCTAGTGTGAATGATGAATGCGGGGCAGCGGTCTTTCGGGATCCGGACGGGAGTGGTTGTGGGTGTGTTAGACAAGTTCATATTGCTGCTTGACTGATAGACTGTGATGTGGTCGCTGGTTGACTGTCAGCACGCTTACCTAAGGAAAATTGGGTGTGTACGGCAGCTACAACGCCAACAACAACAACAATGTGGACTCGTACAACGCACAAAAGGGAAACCACAGCAATAAAGTTTATACCAACAACAACAGTGATAACCAACAGTAGTTGAGTGCAAAGCGGATGGGCTGGGCGAAACGTGCAACGGAGACAATCAGGTAGGGCAGGCAGGCAGGCAGCCAGTATTTTTGGAGCCCACTCAGCTCGGCAGCAGACAGTAAGTTGTCGAACGGCGCAATCGCATGGGAATGAATTATAAAATTCAATCACATTTTTGAAGGGCTGTTCGCCGGCAAATTTTATCAATGTGCAACACAATGTAATTGCATTTGAGCGCCTATGGAAGTGAGCTTATGTTCGCACACATACACAGCTGCAATTGTGAAGGCAAGGGTTCGCTGTCGTTGGTGGCAGTTCAACAGCTGTTGCAAGTAGCAGCCACATTGTTAATGCTGTTAAATGCGGTTTTATGCTGGAAATTCATTTTGCTGCTCCAACATTCGTTTATGCTCGCATGCATTAGCTTTGCCCGTTGTTTGTTCTTTTCGCTGCTGGCTGCCAGCGTTTTGATTGATTTGCTGAAAAAAAAATCATAAATGTGTTTTTGTTGTTTTTATTAATTTTTTTTTTTTAATTTTTTTTCAACGCTTTTTGGTTTCTCTTGTGGTTTGCTGTGTCGGGCAAGGTTGATTGCACTCCGGGCTCAGCGCTTGGCTCAATTAAGCAGTTGACGCAGCGGAAAAAGCGGTGAAGCCAACACTCACACACACAAACTCCTGCTCCAAAATACACTCTCTCACATACACATGCTTGTATGTGCATTTAACTGAAAATTTATCATCAAATGCGCTGCCTGTCTGTCGGACAGGAAATGCAATAAAATGAATGATTTAAATCCACTAATTTATTTTGAGGGGTTTTTAGTTCTGAATGCATTCAGCACATAGAATTGTATTGATTGCTTGTTACCCGAAAAGCGAAGAGCAAAACTATGTTGTGACCACATTAAATATTAGACACTAATTACTAAGAACTTTCTATTCGACTGGCCAAAGGGCGTGACATTGTGGAAGGGTGTGTAGCATAACTATAAAAATTTACAACTTTTTTGTCTTTTCTATTACATTATTTCTATTACCTTTTTTCTTGTTCACTGAGTTTAATTTTTTTTTTTTCTTTCAAAGTAAAAATGCTTTTTATTTGTGTTTTAAACAACAAACTTCAACATTCCGGATCTGCAGCATCAAATTTAAGTATCTGTCAAGTTTTCGTACTATTTAAGAAAAAAAAATAAAAATTTTGTTTTTGTAGTTTCAGTGTGGTTGTATTTCAATCTTGGATCAGCTTTGCTATCTTCGCGCAATCTTTTAACTTTTTTCATACTTCCGTAGCAAAATTTAATATTCATAAAATACGAGTTTCCATATTATTATAGTTTTGTTCACATAACGGTTCTTTGTAAGTCCCAAAGCTGAAAGAGTCAACTATAAGGTTATATACCCCAAAGTGATCAGGGTGACGAGTAGAGTTGAAATCCGGATGTCTGTCTGTCCGTCCGTTCGTCCGTCCGTCCGTGCAAGCTGTAACTTGAGTAAAAATTGAGATATCATGATGAAACTTGGTACATGTATTCCTGGCTCCATAAGAAGGTTAAGTTCGAAGATGGGCAAAATCGGCCCACTGCCACGCCCACAAAATAGCGGAAAGCGAAAACCTATAAGCCATAAATAAAGATATTAAAGTGAAATTTGGCACAAAGGATCGCATTAGGAAGGGCATATTTCGACGTAATTTTTTTTTTAAGTGGGCGTGGCCCCGCCCCCHACTAAGTTTTTTGTACATATCTCGGAAACTACTACAGCTGTCTCAACCAAACTGTACAGAGTCGTTTCCTTCAGGCATTTCCATATACAGTTCAAAAATGTAAGAAATCGGATAATAACCACGCCCACCTCCCATATAAAGGTTATGTTGAAAATCACCAAAAGTGCGTTAACCGACTAACAAAAAACGTCAGAAACACTAAATTTTACGGAAGAAATGTCAGAAGGAAGCTGCATCCAGGCTTTTTTTGTAAATTGAAAATGGGCGTGGCG